CCCTCCGACCAAGTGAGTGTCTACCAACATGGCCAGAGTGGGGAGCTGGAGTGATAGTTCTGGGGTCTTGGACCCTCCATGAGTACCGAAGGCCCAGACGGACTCCGAGGCTTAGACAGGTCCAGGGGGGTGCAACACTCTCACTAGGCAGCGGGCAAAAGGAGAGATGGAAACAGAGATGGAAATCTCAGGAGGAGACACCATTTCATGGCCACGCCCCTTCATCAGGGTCCCCAAACATTGAGGCTTCCATCTCTCCGGCTGCCTAGTGGGAGGGTGTCCAGCGAATGCGGATCTGGTGACCTTAGGAGGGGCTACTCCAGGTTTTGTAAGATGGAGGCAGGGATTGAAACCTCAGGAGCAGACAACGTTTTGGGGTGACGCCCCTTCATCAGGGTCCCCAAGCATTGTCCGCTCCAGGGGGTTTCCATCCCGGCTTCCATCTCTCCGGCGGCCTAGTGGGAGGATGTCCAGCGACTGCGGATCTGGTGACCTTGGCAGAAGCTCCTCCTCATCATCGACTTTATTGTGCCATTTATAATTGGCTATCTGCTGCGCTCTGTATTTTCCGCGCTTTGCCCGGAGCGCCACTTTAACGGGATTCCCTCCGAACCACCACAAGCTTTAAAAGCGCCCGGCATCTTCCTGTGTGCGCTGGGACCACTTAGAAGAACTGACAAAGCGGCCATGCTTGATCTAGCTTGAAGACGGTAACCTTTTCCGTGTGGCGGCCCAGCGTTAGCCGCTCTCCCGCCGCCGCCTCCCCGCCAGCCGCCTGGAATCAGGTAATGGATTGGAAACTTGCGGAGATGGAGCGGAGACGGGGGGGGGCTGGGGCGACCTTTGTATCTCAGCCGTCAGTAGGAGCAGCGACTGTGGGGCCGGCGGGGACCTGCGCGCGCTCCTAGATTGGTAGAGCGTGCGCAGCGAAAATTGGGAAATGGTGAAAAGGTTCCGAAAGTCGGCGAAGAACTTCAACATTTCTGAGATGTTATTAAGAGGTTTCTGGGGACTTCACTTCTGACGGAAGCGGCAAAACCGACGGAGGAGAAAAACTGCGAATTTTGTGGATGAGCGACGGACGGGCCGAAGCCAATCGCCAGCAAAGCGGAAAGCGAAGCGCGTACGAGAGACGGCCATCGCTTAAAGAGGACCTGTCATCAGATATGTGTCATGTAATATGATAAACACTTTCCCCATACATGTCCCCCAGGGCAATACCCGGACCCCCATACATGTCCCCCAGGGCAATACCCGGACCCCCATACATGTCCCCCAGGGCAGTACCCGGACCCCCATGCCTTTTTTAGGGTCAATAACTTGCACATAAGCCCTCATAAAGGGGACAATCCCTTCTGAAAGTTCTACCCCCCATTGACTTGCATTGAGTTCGAATTCAAACCGTACTCGGGCCTGTTCGGCCCATCACTAATGGGGGACACAGACAGCAATAAGAACCCAGGAGGGGGTCCGATCCCTCTGCAATCCATCCTAATCTAAAAAAAGGTTTTAGCTTCAGTTACACTTTAACTCTTTGTTGTTATTATGATTGTAATACAAAGTAACACATAAGAGGCGGAGTTTATCATTTTATAACGTTACAGCCAATCAGAACTCTTCAGATAAATGATCTCAGGTCACACACAAAGGGCTGCACAAACTGTTGGCGCTATATAAATCCTGTATAATACGGTAACAATAATAATACATGGCCGCCTCCCTATTGACTGACGAGTTCCCTTTAAGACACTACAATCCCACACAGAGCCTGGTGTGTCTGCTGAGACTTGTAGTCCTTCAGCAGCCGCTCAGGTTTGGATGATAGTGTTACGTTTACA